CGACGACCTCGGACCAGGAGAGGACCCCGGGCCACGAGTCTGGCGCGGCGCTGATGGCGTACGGGCCGGAAGTGCTGCACGACTACGTGGCCACACGCTTTGAGGCGGCACTGGGCCGCACCATGCCACAGATGGAGGTGCGCTTCAACAACCTCTCGATCACCGCCGACGTGGTGGTGGTCGAGGAGGACGAGAGCAAGACGGAGCTGCCGACGCTCTGGAACACAGCGAAGAAGAGTCTGGCCAAGCTGTCGGCCAAGAAGCACGTGGTGCGCAAGGGGATCCTGCGCAATGCCAGTGGCGTACTGAAGCCTGGAACCATCACTCTGGTGCTGGGTCAGCCTGGCTCGGGCAAGTCGTCGCTGATGAAGGTGCTGAGTGGCCGCTTTCCGCTCGAGAAGAACATCACGATCGATGGCGACGTGACGTACAACGGCGTGGCACAGACCGAGATCATGCGTCGCCTGCCGCAGTTCGTGGCCTACGTGACACAGCGCGACAAGCACTTTCCCACGCTCACCGTCAAGGAGACGCTCGAGTACGCGCACCGTTTCTGCGGCGGCGAGATGTCCAAGCGTGCCGAGGAGAAGATGTCCAAGGGAACACCCGAGGAGAACAAGGCCGCACTGGAGGCGGCACAGGCGCTGTTCGCACACTACCCGGACGTGGTGATCCAGCAGCTCGGACTGGAGAACTGCCAGGACACGATCGTGGGCAATGGCATGATGCGCGGCGTGTCCGGAGGTGAACGTAAGCGCGTGACGACTGGCGAGATGGAGTTCGGCATGAAGTACGTGACTCTCATGGACGAGATCAGTACGGGTCTCGACAGTGCGGCGACGTTCGACATCATCAAGACACAGCGCAGTATCGCCAAGAAGCTGCAGAAGACGGTGGTGATTGCGCTGCTGCAGCCGGCGCCGGAGGTGTTTGATCTGTTCGACGACGTGATCATCCTGAACGAGGGTGAGGTCATGTACCATGGCCCGCGTGAACAGGTTGTGGGTCACTTTGAGGGACTGGGCTTCAAGTACCCGCCTGAACGCGACGTGGCCGACTACCTCTTGGATCTGGGCACGAACCAGCAGTACAAGTACGAGGTGCCGCTGCCGTCGGGCATGGCGCACCACCCGCGCCTGGCGAGCGAGTTCGCCGAGCACTACCGTCGCTCGAGCATTCATCGCAGAATGTTGGCGGCTCTGGAAGCTCCGTACGACCCGGAGCTACTCGAGAACGTGAGCAACGACATCGACCCGATGCCGGAGTTCCACCAGTCCTTCTGGGACAACACGTGGACACTCGTGGAGCGCCAGAACAAGGTGACTATGCGCAACACTGCGTTCCTCAAGGGCCGTGGCCTCATGGTCATCGTCATGGGTCTCATCAACGCATCGACGTTCTGGAACGTGGACCCGGTGAACGTGCAGGTGCTGCTGGGTGTGCTGTTCCAGGCCGTGCTGTTCCTGTCTCTGGGCCAGGCCTCACAGATCCCGACGTTCATGGCTGCACGCGACATTTTTTACAAACAGCGCGGTGCCAACTTCTACCGCACGGCGTCGTACGTGCTTTCGTGTTCTGTATCCCAGATTCCGCTGGCGTTCGCGGAGACCATCGTGTTCGGCCCACTGGTGTACTGGTTGTGCGGCTTCGTGTCGTCGGCTGGTGCGTTCATCATCTACCTGATCATGCTGATGCTGACGAACCTGGCGTTCGCGGCGTGGTTCTTCTTCATCGCGTCCATCTCGCCGGACCTTCACGTGTCCAAGCCGATTGCCATGATCACGATCCTGTTCTTCGTCTTGTTCGCCGGCTTCATCGTGGCCAAGAGCCAAATGCCCGACTGGCTCGTGTGGATCTACTGGATCGACCCGATCGCGTGGTGTCTGCGCGCCTTGGCTGTCAACCAGTACCGCTCGTCCATCTTCGAGGTGTGTGTGTATGAGGGTGTGGACTACTGCTCGGACTTTGGCGTGTACACTACCTGTCGATGTACGACGTGCCGTCGGCGAAGACGTGGATTATCTACGGTATCATCTTCATGATCGTGGCGTACGTGGTGTTCATGTTTCTGGGCTGCTTGGTGCTGGAGTACAAGCGTTACGAGAGTCCGGAGCACACAAATCTGGCGAAGAAGATGGTGGACGACAACGAGGCCGGCAGCTACGCGCTGGTGGCGACTCCGAAGAAGAACAAGTCGCACAACGACGGCGCAGCTTTCGTTGTTGAAGTGACAGAACGTGAGAAGAACTTCACGCCGGTGACGGTGGCGTTCCAAGACTTGTGGTACTCGGTGCCGAACCCGAAGAACCTAAAGGAGAGTTTGGACCTGTTGAAGGGTGTGAGTGGCTTTGCGATGCCCGGTTCGGTGACTGCGCTGATGGGCTCCTCTGGAGCTGGTAAGACAACGTTGATGGACGTGATCGCCGGCAGGAAAACGGGCGGCACGATCAAGGGCAAGATCCTGCTGAACGGCTACGAGGCGAACGACCTGGCCATCCGTCGATGCACCGGCTACTGTGAGCAAATGGACGTGCATTCGGAGGCGTCGACGTTCCGTGAGGCTTTCACGTTCAGTGCATTCCTTCGACAGGATAGCAGCGTTCCCGACAGCAAAAAGTATGACTCGGTGGACGAAGTGCTGGACCTGCTGGACATGCACGACATCGCGGACCAGATCATCCGCGGCAGCTCGGTGGAGCAGATGAAACGTCTGACGATCGGTGTGGAGCTGGCTGCGCAGCCCAGTGTGATCTTCCTCGATGAACCGACCAGCGGACTGGATGCTCGATCAGCAAAGTTGATCATGGACGGCGTTCGCAAGGTGGCGGACAGCGGACGGACCATCGTGTGCACGATCCACCAGCCGTCGTCGGAAGTTTTCTACCTGTTCGACAATCTGCTGCTGCTGAAGCGCGGAGGTGAAACGGTGTTTGTTGGTGAGCTCGGCGAGAAATGCCGTAAGCTGGTGGAATACTTCGAGTCGATTCCCGGCGTGACATCTCTTCCTAAGGGATATAACCCCGCGACGTGGATGTTGGAGGTGATCGGCGCTGGTGTGGGTCATGGTGCCGGCACGACGGACTTCGTGGAGGCCTTCAAGATGAGTGAGGAGAAGCGTATTTTGGACGCAAACCTGGCCAAGGAGGGCGTGACGATCCCGTCGCCCGACTTCCCAGAGATGGTGTTCACGAAGAAGCGCGCCGCGAACTCGATGACGCAGGCCCGATTCCTCACCGGTCGCTTTATGGACATGTACTGGCGCACGCCGTCGTACAACCTGACTCGCATTATCGTGACGTTCCTGTTGGCTTTGGTGTTCGGTCTGTTGTTCCTGGATAGTGACTACACGAGCTACCAGGGCATCAACGGCGGTGTGGGTATGGTGTTCATGACGACGCTGTTCAACGGTATCGTGTCGTTCAACAGTGTGCTGCCTATTTCGTGCGAGGAGCGCGAGTCGTTCTACCGCGAGCGTGCCGCGCAGACGTACAACGCGTTGTGGTACTTTGTGGGCTCGACTTTGGCGGAGATTCCGTACGTATTCGCGAGTGGCTTCATCTTTACGTTCGTGTGGTTCTTCATGGTGGGCTTCACAGGCTTCGACACGGCGCTGCTGTACTGGGTGAATATCTCTCTGTTGATCCTGCTGCAGACGTACATGGGTCAGTTCCTAGCGTACGCGATGCCGAGCGTGGAGGTGGCGGCTATTATCGGTGTGTTGATGAACTCGATCTTCTTCCTGTTCATGGGCTTCAATCCTCCTGCGAACGCGATCCCAACTGGCTACAAGTGGCTGTACGCTATCACGCCGCAGCGTTACCCGCTGGCCATCCTCGGCTCGCTGGTGTTTGGACAGTGCGACACGGACCCTACGTGGAACGAGACCACGAAGGTGTACGAGAACGTTGGCTCGCAGCTCGGTTGCCAGCCACTGACAAGTTTACCGGTGTCCATCGACCACATTACGGTGAAGGACTACGTGGGTTCAGTGTTCGGCATGCACCACTCGGACATGTGGACGCAGTTCGGCTACGTGTTTATCTTCATTGCAGTGTTCCGCGTGCTGGCTCTGCTGTCTCTGCGTTTCCTGAGCCATCAGAAAAGATAAGAAAGAGACCGAAGACATGTTAGACCTGGAAGCTTTAGGAGCTTCCTTAGAAACACAAGTTTTTGAAACCAAATAAAAAATACAAGGTAATTTACGGAAAGGCAAAAATGTCCATCGTTTTTGTGTTTATGCAGTATCCGGCAGTGGTGAAACTCAGACGGATTTATCACCAAAGTCCGGAGAAAAGAAATACTACGAAGTACTACAGTAGCAATTACTCGACGGTTAGTAGCGATATTGCAGTGTATACAGCACCTTTAAAGAGCTTGCCTGCCTTCGTTGTCAGCACGATGAATATCGCGACCGCTTCTTGGATGAGCACCTAGGATGATCCCTCCTCCATTTTTTGCCGTAGCTCAATCCTAAAAAGAGGTTGTATTAAAGACTTAAGGAAGGCGGGCTGCTATATAGCGTACCGAAATCAAGCTTTCTGAGCGCAGAGCAATACTTCAAGACGGGGGGGGAGCTTAAAGTCGATCCGCTTACTTGCAGGCATTCACTGTGAGGTACATTCGTGTACACATTTTGACTTTCAGGCTCTGTAAAACTATAATACATGTTGTGGCAAACGCTTTATTCGCTTCACATACCTACCGACAATACCGGCTTCTTATTGTGGATATCCTGGCTTGGAAATAGTAGAATTGTCTGATCTTCTCTACTACATGTATTAATAACTCTGTCAAAACGTTTGTGTATTAATACCCACGGACATTTTCCCGCGGGTTAGGATACAGTACTCAATTTGGATGATCTATAATACATGTACACACCTTCTGACATTTTCCCGGTGGAAATGCTGCAAACTTTTCATTGCAATTGGTTAAGTGTAGATCATGGGCGTTTTTATCATGATTGCCAGTAATCGAAACCAGTGGGTTTTGTTGGTGTCATGATGATTCATCCCGACGAAGCGGCGTTCCTCTCTGAGATATCGGAGCTCTTGGGCGACTTCGAGACCCCTCCAGGATCCGAACTGGTCCGTCACGAACCCACAGCTGGCCCTGAAGGGCTGTTGTCCGCCAGCCACCAGCTTGTAGCGGAGACGGAGGCACTGCTCTCGTCCTGTAGCACGCCCTCTTCCGATGAGAACAAGACCGCACGAGACCAGACATCGGCAGAGCGCCGCAAGCTACGGAATGCCAACGCAGCTAAGAGGCGACTCAAGTACTGCAAGAAGATCGAAAACGAGAGGGGGCAGCTTAAGCAACAGGAAAAGAAGCTCTCAGTGGAGCTGGCTGAGCTACAAGCGGAGCAGAACGAACGTCAGGTGGTAACGAGGTCGATGCCGGTGTGGCAAGCCGTCGCTACTCGTCAGCTGCAAAGTTGGCTTCTAGCTGAGGCGGAGCGCCGTCGCCTTCGAGAGCTCGTTGGAACGCGCACGCAGCTTCTTCGGGAGCTCGGCGAGAAGGTGCAACAACATTTACAGGGCGCTCATCGGAGCGATAATGCTGATGGAAAGGGTACGCCTCCTCTGACACCTGACGACAAAGCGCTGTTTGAGAGATATCTACAGTAGACGATATGGATGTGGCTTACAGCCAGGTGGGCGGCATTCTCCACGCGTGGGGTGTTCGAGATGCCTCTCTGGCTTCTTTCCACCCTGACTCCAAACGACTGTGTGACGGGGATGTAGAGTATTACGAGAGTTTGCATTTGCAGCAGGTGCCTTTCAATAGCCAACAGACTGGTGCTGCTCTGTGGCAGGCCATGCGCCTTCAGCACCAACAAAAGTGTCGTCGACAGTATTTAAGCGTGCCCGATCCTGAAAACACGCTCGCGTTTAAGTTCCGAGTGCCAGGCCAAGCTGGCTCCGACGAATCATCAAGCTTGATGATCCATATTGTGCTTCGGAATTGGTTTGAAGATGGTCAAACGGTAATTCTGTGGCGAGCTCATACGCAGGGTGAGGGCAAACTCAGTCACATTCAGGCGGATGAAACCGGTTGGTCAGTTGTGCGACCCACCGATGCACATACAAGAAGAGAACTCGGGATGCCGACCGCGATTCTGACCTTCATCCGTCTCATTCCACGCGGCGAGACGCTTGGTGCAGAAGAAGACAAGTCCAATATGGGGCAATTTTTACAACTCGCCGAAGCCTCAGGCAATAAAGACGGATCCGAGATAGTGCGTTTGATGGAGTCTCTTCTGCTCGATGACGCGCGCCGCACACAACTGTGTTGCTGAAGTAGACAAACAAACTTTAACTCCTAGACTTTGCACAGCATCCTAGAGCATTTTGCCTTTACTCTGGTAGAACTTCATGTAGATTTCGCTAAACTTCGCACTCGCCCGGAAGCGATTAAGTTATCATTCCCATCCGCACTTTACCACGTACACGTGCGCATAAAAGAATGAACGCACAGTACTTGAGCTGTAAGTTATTGTGCAGTTTTATTTGGTTTCAAAAAGTTGTGTTACTAAGGAAGCTCCTAAAGCTTCCAGGTCTAACATGTCTTCGGTCTCTTTCTTATCTTTTCTGATGGTTCAGGAAACGCAAAGACAGCAGAGCCAGCACGCGGAACACTGCAATGAAGATAAACACGTAGCCGAACTGCGTCCACATGTCCGAGTGGTGCATGCCGAACACTGAACCCACGTAGCCCTTCACCGTAATGTGGTCGATCGACACCGGTAAACCTGTCAGTGGCTGGCAACCGAGCTGCGAGCCAACGTTCTCGTACACCTTCGTGGTCTCGTTCCACGTAGGGTCCGTGTCGCACTGTCCAAACACCAGCGAGCCGAGGATGGCCAGCGGGTAACGCTGCGGCGTGATAGCGTACAGCCACTTGTAGCCAGTTGGGATCGCGTTCGCAGGAGGATTGAAGCCCATGAACAGGAAGAAGATCGAGTTCATCAACACACCGATAATAGCCGCCACCTCCACGCTCGGCATCGCGTACGCTAGGAACTGACCCATGTACGTCTGCAGCAGGATCAACAGAGAGATATTCACCCAGTACAGCAGCGCCGTGTCGAAGCCTGTGAAGCCCACCATGAAGAACCACACGAGCGTAAAGATGAAGCCACTCGCGAATACGTACGGAATCTCCGCCAAAGTCGAGCCCACAAAGTACCACAACGCGTTGTACGTCTGCGCGGCACGCTCGCGGTAGAACGACTCGCGCTCCTCGCACGAAATAGGCAGCACACTGTTGAACGACACGATACCGTTGAACAGCGTCGTCATGAACACCATACCCACACCGCCGTTGATGCCCTGGTAGCTCGTGTAGTCACTATCCAGGAACAACAGACCGAACACCAAAGCCAACAGGAACGTCACGATAATGCGAGTCAGGTTGTACGACGGCGTGCGCCAGTACATGTCCATAAAGCGACCGGTGAGGTATCGGGCCTGCGTCATCGAGTTCGCGGCGCGCTTCTTCGTGAACACCATCTCTGGGAAGTCGGGCGACGGGATCGTCACGCCCTCCTTGGCCAGGTTTGCGTCCAAAATACGCTTCTCCTCACTCATCTTGAAGGCCTCCACGAAGTCCGTCGTGCCGGCACCATGACCCACACCAGCGCCGATCACCTCCAACATCCACGTCGCGGGGTTGTATCCCTTAGGAAGAGATGTCACGCCGGGAATCGACTCAAAGTATTCCACCAACTTACGGCATTTCTCGCCGAGCTCACCAACAAACACCGTCTCACCTCCGCGCTTCAGCAGCAGCAGATTGTCGAACAGGTAGAAAACTTCCGACGACGGCTGGTGGATCGTGCACACGATGGTCCGTCCGCTGTCCGCCACCTTGCGAACGCCGTCCATGATCAACTTTGCTGATCGAGCATCCAGTCCGCTGGTCGGTTCATCAAGGAAGATCACACTGGGCTGCGCAGCCAGCTCCACACCGATCGTCAGACGTTTCATCTGCTCCACTGAGCTGCCGCGGATGATCTGGTCCGCGATGTCGTGCATGTCCAGCAGGTCCAGCACTTCGTCCACCGAGTCATACTTTTTGCTGTCGGGAACACTGCTATCCTGTCGAAGGAATGCACTGAGCGTGAAAGCCTCACGGAACGTCGACGCCTCCGAATGCACGTCCATTTGCTCACAGTAGCCGGTGCATCGACGGATGGCCAGGTCGTTCGCCTCGTAGCCGTTCAGCAAGATCTTACCCTTGATCGTGCCGCCCGTTTTCCTGCCGGCGATCACGTCCATCAACGTTGTCTTACCAGCTCCAGAGGAGCCCATCAGCGCAGTCACCGAACCGGGCATCGCAAAGCCACTCACACCCTTCAACAGGTCCAAACTCTCCTTTAGGTTCTTCGGGTTCGGCACCGAGTACCACAAGTCTTGGAACGCCACCGTCACCGGCGTGAAGTTCTTCTCACGTTCTGTCACTTCAACAACGAAAGCTGCGCCGTCGTTGTGCGACTTGTTCTTCTTCGGAGTCGCCACCAGCGCGTAGCTGCCGGCCTCGTTGTCGTCCACCGTCTTCTTCGCCAGATTTGTGTGCTCCGGACTCTCGTAACGCTTGTACTCCAGCACCAAGCAGCCCAGAAACATGAACACCACGTACGCCACGATCATGAAGATGATACCGTAGATAATCCACGTCTTCGCCGACGGCACGTCGTACATCGACAGGTAGTATTCACCCATGTACACGCCAAAGTCCGAGCAGTAGTCCACACCCTCATACACACACACCTCGAAGATGGACGAGCGGTACTGGTTGACAGCCAAGGCGCGCAGACACCACGCGATCGGGTCGATCCAGTAGATCCACACGAGCCAGTCGGGCATTTGGCTCTTGGCCACGATGAAGCCGGCGAACAAGACGAAGAACAGGATCGTGATCATGGCAATCGGCTTGGACACGTGAAGGTCCGGCGAGATGGACGCGATGAAGAAGAACCACGCCGCGAACGCCAGGTTCGTCAGCATCAGCATGATCAGGTAGATGATGAACGCACCAGCCGACGACACGAAGCCGCACAACCAGTACACCAGTGGGCCGAACACGATGGTCTCCGCGAACGCCAGCGGAATCTGGGATACAGAACACGAAAGCACGTACGACGCCGTGCGGTAGAAGTTGGCACCGCGCTGTTTGTAGAAAATGTCGCGTGCAGCCATGAACGTCGGGATCTGTGAGGCCTGGCCCAGAGACAGGAACAGCACGGCCTGGAACAGCACACCCAGCAGCACCTGCACGTTCACCGGGTCCACGTTCCAGAACGTCGATGCGTTGATGAGACCCATGACGATGACCATGAGGCCACGGCCCTTGAGGAACGCAGTGTTGCGCATAGTCACCTTGTTCTGGCGCTCCACGAGTGTCCACGTGTTGTCCCAGAAGGACTGGTGGAACTCCGGCATCGGGTCGATGTCGTTGCTCACGTTCTCGAGTAGCTCCGGGTCGTACGGAGCTTCCAGAGCCGCCAACATTCTGCGATGAATGCTCGAGCGACGGTAGTGCTCGGCGAACTCGCTCGCCAGGCGCGGGTGGTGCGCCATGCCCGACGGCAGCGGCACCTCGTACTTGTACTGCTGGTTCGTGCCCAGATCCAAGAGGTAGTCGGCCACGTCGCGTTCAGGCGGGCACTTGAAGCCCAGTCCCTCAAAGTGACCCACAACCTGTTCACGCGGGCCATGGTACATGACCTCACCCTCGTTCAGGATGATCACGTCGTCGAACAGATCAAACACCTCCGGCGCCGGCTGCAGCAGCGCAATCACCACCGTCTTCTGCAGCTTCTTGGCGATACTGCGCTGTGTCTTGATGATGTCGAACGTCGCCGCACTGTCGAGACCCGTACTGATCTCGTCCATGAGAGTCACGTACTTCATGCCGAACTCCATCTCGCCAGTCGTCACGCGCTTACGTTCACCTCCGGACACGCCGCGCATCATGCCATTGCCCACGATCGTGTCCTGGCAGTTCTCCAGTCCGAGCTGCTGGATCACCACGTCCGGGTAGTGTGCGAACAGCGCCTGTGCCGCCTCCAGTGCGGCCTTGTTCTCCTCGGGTGTTCCCTTGGACATCTTCTCCTCGGCACGCTTGGACATCTCGCCGCCGCAGAAACGGTGCGCGTACTCGAGCGTCTCCTTGACGGTGAGCGTGGGAAAGTGCTTGTCGCGCTGTGTCACGTAGGCCACGAACTGCGGCAGGCGACGCATGATCTCGGTCTGTGCCACGCCGTTGTACGTCACGTCGCCATCGATCGTGATGTTCTTCTCGAGCGGAAAGCGGCCACTCAGCACCTTCATCAGCGACGACTTGCCCGAGCCAGGCTGACCCAGCACCAGAGTGATGGTTCCAGGCTTCAGTACGCCACTGGCATTGCGCAGGATCCCCTTGCGCACCACGTGCTTCTTGGCCGACAGCTTGGCCAGACTCTTCTTCGCTGTGTTCCAGAGCGTCGGCAGCTCCGTCTTGCTCTCGTCCTCCTCGACCACCACCACGTCGGCGGTGATCGAGAGGTTGTTGAAGCGCACCTCCATCTGTGGCATGGTGCGGCCCAGTGCCGCCTCAAAGCGTGTGGCCACGTAGTCGTGCAGCACTTCCGGCCCGTACGCCATCAGCGCCGCGCCAGACTCGTGGCCCGGGGTCCTCTCCTGGTCCGAGGTCGTCGACATGACAGGCAACAGATGAATTCTAGCTCTGTAGCTGCTGGTCCTTTGTGTGATGTGTGTGGGGAATTGATGTCGCGCTCACTGCGCAAATTCAGGAATGAGTGGGTCAAGCCGACAAGACAAGCGGTGCGACGAGCGGCCCGCCACTGGAGTTGCGCATCATACACGCATCATACTGCAGCGCGTTGATGCCGAGTCCTGATTGCGCGCACATTCGCCGAGTACTGGAAAAAGTGCGGTTGACTCGACAACCCTAGTCTCCGCTGGGATGACTGGCAAAATGACGCTTGGTGTCCGAATCGGCAGCGCCAGCGTCGCTACTACATGTAGCGACTTGCTAGCGCAGCAGCAGCTCCAAAAGCACGCAAAGAGTTACAAAGCGGGCCACTGCTGTAAAAGTGCTGGATGACTTGCAACTTCAGCCTCCGTGGGATGTCCTGCACGATACAAATGAAACCATGCGACAAGGCTCGTGTAAAACGAGCAATCCAATGGCAGAGACAGGACAGCTTACGCGCACAGCTGGAGTTGCTGATCGGAGCCCGTGGCGAATCGACAGCTGACGTTCCAGCGCCACTACTAAACAAGCGGTTTCCCATCCGGCGATTCGCGCGGTAATGCGGCGTTAAACCAGCGCTACGCAGGCACGCGCTGGGCCCGGAGTCCGACCATCATGGTCACCATGCGCGGGGGTATCGTGGGTTACCGCCGTGCAGCCACCATTCTCTGATGTGTCACGGAGACTTTAAGACACATCAATGCTGCGTGGGCGTTCATGCATGAGCTGCAACGTTTGTCTCTGCATGCAAACGGAGATACTGAGCAAAATCCGTCAGGGCTTCTGTGCGACAGAATCGATGATTGGGCTCAGGGCTGGTTGAGGCATTGTCCGGATGGGCGGCCTCAAGGTCGACATTGTCACCGACAACCCCGATATCAAATGAAAGAGTAATTGTTTAAGGAATGTCGGTGGTCCGATCATCGACCTGCCAAACGATGCCGGTCCCCGATCAGCAACCACAAAACCCCCGGTTTTAATAAATCGACTCAGTTTAACTTCCTATCACCTGGTCGTTGGGTGAATAACCACGTTGCGAATATGTATATTAATAATACTCGTATGTACAAGTTTGATCGTGAAGCGACCCGATCTTCAATTTTGGAGTTAAGTTCGGGTTTCAACGAGCATATACCGTATTACCGCGGTGCTGCCGTCAAGCTGGCCGTGCTCACGATTGCAGCTCGGCAAACGGCCTGTGTACAATGTGTCGTTTCATTCCACCGAATTTCTTTGGACAGTTAGCTATAAAAAAAACGAAACTTCTCGATCATCTGCATTAGATCGGATACAGTTTTCAGAAAGATTGGTTACTAGGTGAGCAGCTCACCAGCTCACAGCTCACTGAGCTCAAAATGTTATAGAGACTGGGTAAATCGGATAAATTTACAGCATTCTGCAAAGGTAAATTGCAGATACTGTATGTATTAAATTCTGACGATACGTCACTTGCATTAACGCCACGCCTCGAGTTTATCTCCATAATTCGGGGGAAAAATAAACTCGATCTGCCGTGAGCTGGAACTTCAAGACCTTCTCGTGCTTCGTGCAGAAGCATTTCGAATCGAAATAAAAAGCACACACGCTATTATATCCCTATGGGATGGGACACGTCTACACGCAATGAGATCAAGTTGATCATCGAAGTTCAGCCGTGGCCTGCTCGCAATCTCATCTTAGATCTCCCTGAAACAGCTTAGAACGCGTGGTCACAAGTTCTAGTAGCAGACATCGTTCTGCTTCTGCTATCAGCCGGACTTATAGCTGAACAGCTCGGTCAGCTCAGCTGATAACTGCTTCTACTGCTGCTCCAGATGCTGACGCTTGTCCTCAACCTCGCGTGCATTGGCATTTCGTTCACCAATAGTACTGGCTGGTAACAACATGTAGTTTGAGCTACACGTTCTCGAAGCGCGGAGATGCAGAGAGGTGACGGTCCGTCCGCCCACTCTTGACGCGCCTTCAGCAACGGCAACACACGACTAGAAACATGTATGGATATAATAATACAAACTTCAATAATCGTAAAGCATCTATCTCTTAAAACTGACTTGGGCCAGTACCTTATCTCTTCTGATGGTTGATATACCGCAGCGATAGCAGCGCGAGTAGGCGTAGAGCGCCGATGAACACGAAGACGTAGCCGAAGTTGCTCCAGATGTCGTCATGCTTCATCTCGAACACCGATTCCATGTAGCCCTTGACTGTAATGTGGTCGATCGTCACTGGAAGGTTCGTCACAGGTTGGCAACCAAGCTCCGATCCAACGTTGACGTATTGTCCGAGATTGCTGTCCCACGTTGGCTCTGTCGGGCAATCGGAAAAGACCAGAGCCATCATGATCGAAAGCGGATATCGCTGAGGGGTGATCGTGTAGAGCCAACGGTAGCCACTAGGAATGGATTTGGCCGGAGGGTTGAAGCCCATGAACAAGAAGAAGATCGAGTTGATGAGTACACCGATGATGGCCGCCACCTCCACGCTCGGTAGCGCGTAGACGAAGAGTTGCCCCATGTACGTCTGCAACAGCACCAATAGCGAAAGGTTGATCCAGTAGAGCACGCCCGTTCCAAAGCCGGTGAAGCCAACTAACGGATAGAAGATGACCGTGAAAAGCAGACAGCTGATAAACACGTACGGGATCTCAGCGATCGTCGAGCCAACGAAATACCAGAGCGAATTGTACGTCTGTGAAGCGCGCTCACGGTAGAAAGCAGCGCGGTCTCCCGATGCAATAGGCAACACACCGTTGAACGACACGATGCCATTGAACAGCGTCGTCATGAACACCATTCCCACACCGCCGTTGATCCCTTGGTAACTCACATACTCCACGTCCACATACGTTAAGCCGAAGAGCAGAGCTAGGAACAGACCGATGGCAAAACGCGTCATGTTGTACGTGGGTGTACGCCAGTACATGCGCATGAAGCGCGTTGTCAAGAACTTGGCCTGTGTCCATGAGCTGGCCGCACGTTTCTTCTGGAAGATCATCTCCGGTAGATCAGGAGCTGGTACGGTGACTCCTTCTTGTGCCATCTCATTGTCCAGAAAGCGCTTCTCCTGGCTGTTCTTGAAGTACTCGACAAAGTCCATCGTGCTATGACCTCCGTTGTTGACACCGGCACCGATACACTCTAGCATCCACGTGGCCGGGTTGTATCGGTCAGGCAACGGAGCGACCCCAGGGGTCGACTCGAAGTACTCCACCAACTTACGGCATTTCTCACCGAGTTCGCCAACAAACACCGTCTCACCACCACGCTTGAGCAACAGCAAGTGGTCGAACAGGTAGAACACATCAGACGAAGGCTGGTGAATCGTACACACGATCGTACGCCCGCTATCTGCCACCTTACGAACGCCATCCATAATAAGTTTTGCCGAACGAGCGTCCAGTCCACTGGTCGGTTCATCTAAGAACAAGACGCTGGGTTGGGCAGCCACCTCCACACCAATAGTCAGACGCTTCATCTGCTCCACGGAGCTGCCACGTACAATCTGATCGGCGATGTCGTGCATGTCCAAAAGGTCGAGAACTTCCTCCACCGAGTCGTATTTCTTGTGGTCCGGGACACTGCTATCTTGACGAAGGAATGCACTGAACGTGAAAGCCTCACGGAATGTCGTCGCGTCCGAATGGATGTCCATCTGCTCGCAGTAACCAGTGGATCGACGGATAGCCAAGTCGTTCGCTTCATAGCCGTTCAGCAGAATCTTTCCCTTGATCGTACCGCCCGTTTTTCTACCGGCGATCACGTCCATCAACGTCGTCTTACCAGCGCCAGAAGAGCCCATGAGAGCCGTCATGTTACCAGGCGTAGCGAATCCACTAATACCCTTGAGCAAGTCGATGGACTCCTTGGGGTTTCCAGGCTTCGGGACTGAGTACCACAAATCCTGGAAGGCAAGAATCACTGGCACAAAGTTCTTCTCACGTCCAATATCCAGAGCAATAGCTCGCTCAGCCGAGCTGGTACTGGAACCCTTTGGAGTTGCAACTAGCGCGTAGCTCTCATCGGATTCTTCGTCCTTGTCCTTGACGATCGTGTGCTCAGGGCTCTCGAAACGGTGGTATTCGAGCACGTAGCATCCCAAAGCCATGAAGAGAGCGTAGCATGCAATCATGAAGAGCATGGCAGCCCACACCCAGACCTTGGACGACGGCACGTCGTATTGAGACAAATAGTACTCGCCCATGTTCATATTGTAGTCAGCGCAGTAGTTCACACCCTCATAGACACAGACGTCGAACTTGGCTGCACGATACTGATTCACAGCGAGACCACGCAGACACCACGCGATAGGGTTGATCCAGTAGATCCACACAAACCAACCAGGCATCGTACTCTTGGCCATGACGAAACCAGCAAACAGAATGAAGAAAACCACTGTAAACGTCGCGAACGGCTTAGCAATGTGGAAGTCCGGAGACATGGCTGTGAGCAGGAAGAACCACGACGAAAACACCAGGTTCGTCAGGATAAGTAGGATCATGTAGCAGATGAACGCTCCAGCAGTGGCCACAAAGCCGCACATCCAGTAGACCATGGAGCCGAAGATGACACTCTCAGCAACGGCCATTGGAATTTGAGCCACAGAGCACGCCAGTACATAAGCAGCCGTCGGGAAGAAGTTGGCTCCGCGTTGCTTGTAGAACACATCGCGGGCTGCCATGAACGTGGGGATCTGAGAAACTTGCCCCAAAGCGAGGAACAACACGGCTTGGAACATTATTCCCAAAGCTACCTGGACGTCCGTTGGGTCTACTTGCCAGAATGTGCTCGAGTAGATGAGTCCCATCAGCACCACCATAATGCAGCGCCCTTTGATGAACGCAGTGTTACGGAGAGTAACCATCGTCTGACGCTTCATGAGCGTCCGGGTGTTTTCCCAAAAACCGCGACGAAACTCTGGCATCGGATCCATGTGCGCACCAACGTTCTCAAGGAGCGCTGGTTCGTGTGGGTTGTCTAATGCCTGCAGCATTCGCTCGTGAATTGACGAACGTCGGAAAATCTCAGCGAACTCGCTGGCTAACCGCGGGTGGTGGGTCATTTCTGACGGTAAGTTCACTTCGTAGCCGTACTGCTGGTTGGTTCCCAAGTCGAGAAGGAAGTCAGCCTCATCACGATCCGCTGGACATTTAAAGCCCAAGCTCTCAAAGAATGGCACGGCTTGGTCGCGGGGTCCGTGGTACATGACTTCACCGTCGTTCAGGATCATCACGTCGTCGAACAGCTCAAATACTTCAGGTGAAGGCTGCAGAAGAGCAATAACAACTGTCTTCTGCAGTGTTTTAGCGATACCACGCTGTGTGCTGATGATATCGAAGGTAGCCGCACTGTCGAGACCAGTACTGATCTCGTCCATGAGCGTCATGTACTTCATACCAAACTCCATCTCGCCAGTCGTCACGCGTTTGCGTTCTCCACCTGATACGCCGCGAAGCATAGCGTTGCCCACGATGGTGTCTTTGCAGTTTTCAAGTCCTAATTGCTTAATCACCACGTCCGGGTAGTGCGCATATAGTGCCTCCAGCGCTTCCAACGCCGCTGTGTTCTCTTCTGGAGTACCTTTGGAGAGGAGTTTCTCTGTGCGGTTGGAGATGCCACCTCCACAGAAGGCGTGTGCGAACTGGAGCGTCTCTGTGACTGTCAGAGTGGGGAAGTGTTTGTCACGCTGCGTCACGTACGCCGCGAACTGTGGTAGACGCTTCATGATGTCGGTTTGCGGGACGCCGTTGAACGTAATCGCACCCTCGATGGTCACGTTCTTCTCCAATGGAAATCGACCACTCAGTACCTTCATGAGAGACGACTTGCCTGACCCAGGCTGGCCCAGTAGCAGCGTTATTGTACCCGGCTTGAAGACGCCACTGGCATTCTTGAGGATCCCTTTCTCGGCTGTGTGGTTCTTGGCGTTGATCTTGGCAGCCGATTTCTTAACGCAGTTGTAGAGTGTAGGTAGCTGGGACTTGGGATCCGAGTGGCTGGAAGCGAACACGTTGGCCGAGATGGACAGGTTCTTAAAGCGCACCTCCATCTGAGGCATGGCCTTGCCCATGGCAGCCTGCACTTTGTCGGCAACGTAGCTGTGCAGAGCGTTGGGGCCCTGAGCCATCAGCGCGTCGGCCGAGTCGAGACCCAGTTTCTTGTCCATTGTGACGATATGAGAGATGATGGGAAAGTGCTTGAGTAGTCGAGAGCAAATTCCGGAATGAGCTCCTACAGAACGCAAGCGTCGTCGCGCGTCAACGGGTTTCTGGGCACTTGGCGCGCAATCTGAGTACAGCTGGATTGCGCGTCACCGATGACGTTAAAGTGACTGCCTCGTCTTTTGACGTGTGACAAGATTCGTTAAACCAGTCGCGCGTAATCGATGAAGTGTGCGAGTAAACCCACCGAGAAAAATCTTGGCAACGACTCGATGAGACGGGCGATCCCTTGCTAGACCATAGAATTTGGCCAAGGTTGGTCAGTCTTGCGGCTTTTATTTCATTTCACTCTTCCTAATGCAATTGACACACGTCAGAGCAGTACTACTCTGGCAGGCCTACGCAGTTCAGCGAGTTGACGAGTGCGCCGAAGTCGACGTGGCGTCGACGAGCCAAGAGCATGTTGTCAGTGCGCTCACGTCTCTCAACACATTCTTGCTTTCGCCTACATCATGGGCCAAGGTCGGCGAACAGAGGGTCTTTTACATATCACTCTTCGAAATGCAATTGGCAAACGGCAGTACTACTCTGGCCAGCCCACGAAACACTGCGCAGTTCGAGTGTAAGGCGAGTCGCCTTGTCGCCCTCTCGTCGTTGCCACGCATACTTGTCCACCCACAAAGTATCGTCAAAGCTTTTACCTACGAATACCCGCTCGCCGTCTTCGATGCAAGCAAACGCCAACACGTAGCGCATGGGCTCTCCATCCGACGTAAAGCCCCATTGCAATCCAAAAGATACCGATTGAACATCATTGCGCTTGAAGGATGTTATTCTCGCGTTCTCGCAGCATTGTGGCTGGCTGTGGACGCCGCGATGAGCCGCTCTTACGGCAGGTTTGCCAGTGCTACCAACCACGCAGATCTCTCCAATATAAGCCAGATAGTCTTCGTGCTCACCGGGGACTTTCCTTATCTTCTTGGTACATAGTACACCAATCTCCACAATGTGTTTCTGGTCCCAAAGCTGGCCTCCTAGTCGATACGTCTTCTTGCACCAACCATCAGCGGTGATGCCTTGTACAGCGTCAGCATTGACACCTTCGACGTGGAAAAACTCAGTAGAGACGGGCAAGTAGAAATGCTTTTCTGAAGTGGCCTTTGCAACCGTGGACAACGTTTTCTTGCTACCCATTCGGTCCTCTCCAATGTCTGGCTCCGAGTCATCCATTGAGCGCAATATCACGAAATGTGTAGCACGATCCAGACCCGGACATACAGTCAGCACTAGCAGACACACAGACTCGTCACGTGTTGCCGTCGTGTACGAAATCTCCATGATACGACGCGGCGAGAACTCGATATCCACGTCAAAGAGCTTGAAATATGATTTCTCCCGTCCATCTAATTGACCCTAGAATAGTAAGTGCAATATACACAGATTAGTATACGAAGCAGGTGCTAACATGACAACTTTGCGATCCTTACCTGTATTTGAGCACTTGCGCCTCCATGGAATGCTGTATCGTGCGAGATAACAGCCTTCATGGACCCTGTAGCAGTAGTGACGACGTTACCAGCATGCAGCGCTTGGTCTGGCTGGACATCCAGCTCTGTCATGTTGGACCACGCTGAATTACCCACACGTTCCCCCTGTGACCAGACACCCACGCCACGACCAACGTTGAACGCAGTGTAGAGGCAATTCTGCCCACCGAGTGCATCATAGCACGGACTTCTCGCTTTCCAGCTCTCTCGGACAGCATTCCAGAAGTGATTCTCGACCACGACAAAGTCTTGTTGCTCCTCATGCTGGTAGCATTCATACGTCCATCCTGGAGCGAAGAGAGCAGCAGACACGCCTGCATTCCACGCCAGACGCAGTGGCTCGCCACAGTTCATCTTGCCTCCTCCGAGCATATCGTGTCTTCCGAACACGTCGATACCCATGTATACATCATAACGGCGATCTAGATCAAATGCAGCCGAGAACTTGGCGTCGTCCGGTGTCCAGCCGTAGTCAGCGTAGAAGCCATCGACGTTGCGAAAGAACTCGGTGCTTGCCTCGTCCAGACGCACATAGGAGCTTCGTTTACCCGACCGGGAGAGGCTGCCATACCACACGACTTGCGCCAGTGGGTTTTGAAGCTGCAGCGCCTTGCGAAGAGTGCGCAAGAACACATCGATATTAGCCACCAGTGCAGCAGGAACGTCGTTTTCCACGTTAATTAGCCACCCATCAAAGCCCCCATGCCGAGTAATATCAGCCAATTTCGAAGCAAATATCTGCGTTTAACAGCAACAACATCAGCGATCTAGAAGCACGTTAAGCAATGTACGTATAGCGAGCTTACCTCGGCCGACTGGGCATCTTTAAACAGCTCTTTGCATAATTCTGTTCCTTCGTCGCCTTCAGTCAGAAAAGTGCCCAAGACACGCGTGCCATGACGATGTCCAGCCGCGATCCACCCACTGGGCGGAGGACACACTAACGCATGCCCAAAGTACACGAACAAGTCCACCAGATCCCACTGATAGAAGCGATACGCGTCAAAATTGTCGCATCCCTGCTTGAATCGGTCTTCGTGGTATCCTCCTTTCATGTCATGACACACTAACAGTTTACTACGTCTACGCTGCTTCCTGGAGAGCGGTGCAATGGGCACGCAGCACCTAACGAGCGTCTTCGGGTCAAAAGCGCGAAGCTCATCCACCGTATGCAGTGGCTTTGTCTCAAAGTTCGCACCCTCTTGATTAATCTCGCCAGCACACTGAAACGAGTTCAGTGCACTGAGAATCATAAACCCCGTGTCACTTTTGGTATCGACTCGAACGTGACTCCAGTCACACTTTTCTCCAAGCTCGTCCTTTCGTCCATCCACCAATAGACCACGTAGCTGTTTTAAACCTCCCACCAGATGTCCTTTGAGGAATAAGTACACGTTTTCAACCTGTTCCGGGTGTCTCTCGTGCAGAGCTTCCAGTACCTTTGAGCCACCTGCCATCTGTGTCAAGTCTACGACGTGAAGTGGCACTTGAAGCGCGTCATATAACGCTCGGAAGGGCTCGATGCGCCCCCCGCGACCCGCGAATAACACCGTCTCATTGGCAGATAATTCGTGCTTCACAAAGGCAGCAAAGCGTTCTTCACGAGGTTTCGCAGAATATGGTTCGGCATTGGCGAAGGATGCGGTGGGCGAGTAGACACGACCGGAACGGATGCAGAACCAGTAGAGCAGCCCTACCCCGACGGTCAATAGCGTAGCAGCGGCTTCTATTGGAAAGAAGGTACTGGTATAGCCGATGTCCTCGGTGGATGCAGGAGAGGGGGCTGAGCTCATGCTTGAGATGCCGTTGGCTTGTAAAAAAAAAGAGAGCTTAACTATATTTTATTAAATCACTAAAAACAAATTAAAACGATTTCCTTCAGGAACCATCTCGATGGAGTGGCCCAATGAGTTCGACTCGTTTGAGCTTCTCCCTCAAAGGAACGTGAGCGGTATGAGATGCCGGTCATGTACCACTTCCAAACGAGGTGTATATCAAGTTGCTTGTTTACTTCGGCTGCTTCATGTAGCTCTTCATGGTGGGAGGTGGCGTCGCTTTTGAGCCTATCAACCAACTAATCCTGATGCTCAGAGCCACACCGCCGTCAGACGACGTCTCCAGTCCTTCGATGAACCGGTACAGCGTCTGTCGCTGTACCTGCCCTGGGCATGCGCACGGCGCCGGTATTAAGGTGGCGGCACGGCCCAGCGGAAGCATGGTTGTCACAACTGGATATCCTGACGAATAGCGCTATCACGAGTCCACCCCCACTGCCACTTCGTTATCGGTCTATTTTGGCCTAATGCCGTGCTCTGTTTGCAAATACGTGTCAGTTCTGTTCGATGTGATAGGACAGATACACTTTAGAAGGCGGCACCGGCAAGCTACGCTTGTCGGAGAGAGCTTTCGAGTCTCATATAGGTCACCGGATCGCTCCGGGTGTCATGATTCGGTATTACCGTGTAGATGCCGACTTATTGTGCCCAGCTTTGGCAGCACAGGACTCCTTACGGGTGCGGGCCAAGTGGCGTGCAGAAAATGTGACCCTGGGTCCATATCTAACTTCTCTCTCAGAGAGAAGCAATCAAGAAGGCCCAAGTGACAAGAATCAACGAGAGCGCGGTCAAGATCATGGGGCCTCCCCCAAAAGACCACCCCTGTCACTCGCTCCGTATTGGAGGAACATGCTCGCTTCTAGCGTCCAGGAAAAGTGACCTGAACATTCAGCTAATGGGAAGACGGTCAAATTGTCTCTCGGTGTACACTCGGTTACGACAAGGAATGATTCAGGACGCAGCAAGTAGCATGATCAAGGTCTCGGCATGAGAGCACCATCTAGCCTAACGCTGAAGAGCTAATCAAGTCTGCCCCATTCGTAGTGATCGCAAGGAGGAAAAGCACAAAAACTTGGCTGGTTAAGTACGAGTGAGCAGAGCCACAAAGTGTAACCAATGTTTTCGAACCGGGGGACGATCAGCAAATCAAGTCATTTGCCGACCAGCGCCCAAGGAGCTCAAGCTCTGAGCTCAGATCTCGAAGAGCGACACGGCGCTCGATGCGTCCGGGAAGAAGCAGCTCGAGCTACCGACGTGAGTTTCTTCAAGAATTTCCACGTAATGGGCGGGTGCAGCTTCTGCTTGCCTTGCTTGTCCCTCATGGTCATGCTGTGTGCCCTCACGCAATGAGCCCAGACCTTTCTGGTTGATCTATTGATGGCTTCTGGACCACAGAGCTCAGAGCACCTGTCCAGGAAGACGAAGTCCTAAATAATTAATCCCCAAAGAAGCCGCCCTCACGGGTCCCTGGGACCGAGACTTTTTCGCATCTTGAGCAGCAATAATGTAGTAACTGGTTGTTTCCGGTCCACTCACTGTTCGTTTGTTTTCTTAAGTGACAAGCTCAAATCCCGGATCATGGTAATTGAGCTTAACATAACGGACGGCTTCGTGTGCGAAGGCCGCCGCTTCCATTTTTCAGTCGAATGTCTGGTACTTGTTTCCTGTCCTCGACTTGTTGTACCCCTCTGGGGCACACGGTCCGGCCAATAGTCCGACCATTCTTGCTTGTTGTGCCCTGGGCAACTCATCGATCAACACGGGGAATCCGAAGTCGTTGCAGAACGGCTATTAAAACTTGAAGTTCTGCTATAACGTCCGAGTGTTCCTTCCGCGATCGATGCTTGTTTCAGCTGTCGAGTCTTCTCCTCGACTCGCAGTCCTTGTTCAATGTGTGTGATGTTATAGCAGTTAGTCAATGTGTGAACATCGCAATTCGGTGTCTGCTCAATGCTATTTCTAAAGGTGTGCGTCGAGAAATGCAGCCGATGCTGAGCCTGGCTCAGGGCGCATGTCGTAAATCATCCTGCCCGATTGTGGATTGACAGCTCATCCTGTCGATGATTCTGGTGATCCAACGCCAGTCGCTGTGTATCACAATGCGCTTCCAGCAATCTTGTGCTTCCAGCACTGCTCCCCACACACTCGTGTCCCTCCTCAAGGCCTTGGTGACGCTGACACTAGAGTCCTGTTACTCGCTGTGAGCAAGTAAGAATCGCTCTTTGAGAGCCATACTGGTCACCAGGATGCTGTGTTGAATGATTTGTATCAGCCATATCGCGTCAATCCGGGTTCAAGCAGACGCATAGGGATGCCTGTGAACTCGTTTTCAAAGTCCAATTGTGCAGTGGGGCTGCCGTAGCTTTAGCATCAGAGGAATATGTTCGACTCAAGAGACCGTAATACAAAATTCCTTATCCGAAGGAGCTTTAGCACAGCCCTAAAACCAGGGCTCAAGAGTTATTAACTCGAAATAACTATTCTGCCTCAAAATCCGAAGTGTTTGATGTACTTTTATTGCGGCCAAACCGCCTAGGGTTAAATGTATATGTTTAGCTATCTAGCATAGTTAAACCTAATCAAATGCATAACGTGTGGCTTTCGCCAACGTACTGAGAGACTTTGTTAGCTCATGTACTGAGAGTTTGTTAGCTCTCCTGGTACCAAGTACCCTGTGTGTCCCACACCGTGTAGCCCCGTTACACTCATGAGAACTCGCCTGTTCTTGAAACCTCCTCAGTGAGGTCTTGTCTTGTCAAGACGCTAAAGGTCACTACCTACCACGCCGCGTTCCACAGCTCACCTAGCTCATTATCGCTCTCGTATCTTGGAGGCACAGCTCCACAGTCTCGTTCCACGGCCCATGCACTTCTGCGTCCCGCGAACGCCGCCCACAAGTGGTTACAGACCATCGATCACAGTCAGCGCTAGCTCTCAGAACCCCATCCGTCCTCTTCGTCAAGAAACGCCATCGCGAGTACCATCGCTGTAACTGGGTACGTAGCCCTAAGTGTACCCTGGTTACATGAAGTATGACACTTCACACTTCAGGGGTATGACACGTCATACTTCGGGATATTTGGTACTAAGTACCAAGGTCGTTCAAAGCCAACCATTGGTTAACGACATTGTATTTCTATAGGTGACTTATAGTTTGTTTAAACCCAAGCTTTATCTACCTATAAATATACTCAGTTTACATTCTCCCTTAATTAGGTTACTTCGCTCTCTTTTGAATAAAGAGGGGACCTGTGAGCTGCCGTTCACTGAGAGTTTGTATACTCTCGGAAGATAACTTCCTCTAGCGCAAGGTGCTGTGTGACCCCGTCACACTTGGTAGCACTCGTAGTCAATCCACGCCACCGCGGGTAGACTACCTAAACCTCTCCGAAGTTCGTTGCCATGGATAGGAACGACTTCTCCCATATGAACGACTCTCAGTTCGAGTCGGTTCGGAAGATGGCAGGCATCTTCGGGATGGAGGCCCTGCAGAGCCTGGTGGTGTCAGCACCGGCCGAGCAGCTCGAGCGCGTCAATGCGTTCGACGCGTACGAGCAGGGCCTCATCGCGCATGTGCGGGAGAGCCTGCAGGCTCCGGCGGTGGAAGCAAATCCGCCTCACCCGAAGCCAATACGGCTGAAGGTTAAGCCGTATGAAGGGAAAGAAGGCGAGAACCTTCACTTCTGGGTCCGGGAAGTAGAGCTCGCGATGGACGCGGCTCTGATCTCGACCGGGCAACTTCGTGTTGCTTTTGCACTCTCCAACCTTAGCGGCTGTGCTAAGAGTTGGGTGTACACACGGGAAGCAAATCCCCCTAGATGTTTCACATCCTGGGCTCAGCTGTGTGAGCAGCTCCGAGCCGCGTTCCTCTCGGCGAACTACGAGTACCGTCAGCGTTCGCGCTTCCTCTCGTGTAAACAAGGGAGGAGCGAACTGCACGAGTACGTGCAAGAGATACGGGAGCTCACGGCGTCCCTAGTGGGAAACCCACTCAACGAACACATCTAGATGACTGTGTTCATGGACGGCCTTCGAGTGGGCCCCGCACGCACTCAGCTGTTCCGGGTGCAGTCAAGCACCCTTAAAGAGGCGATTCAAGTGGCTCTTCAAGAAGAGTACAGCCATCGCCAGGCGCGTACGCCGGCCTCAGCATGGCCTGGGAGTTCCTTGTCGGCTCCCGGTCGAACAAGCCCCAACGGACCAGTTCCCATGGAACTCGGGTCCGCCGAACAGCGTGACATCCGCTGCTTCGGCTGTGGGAAGATGGGCCACTTCAAGCGCGACTGTCCCGCGGAAAGACTCCGCAGACGGTCCTTCCCCAAGCCCGTCCTCAAGGGTCGCTGGAAGAAGCCGGGATCCCGGGGACAGGGGAGCGCCGGGAACCAGTAGGGGCGGGGCGCCCTACTGGGGAAGAACTAAGTCTTCGTAATGGGTGTGCGGGTGGCGCGTACCACGGGGACTTAGCCCCTGAGAGTCTTCGCACTCTCGAATCGGCGAAGAGCAGCGGCGGGTTGCTCGTAGTTGACGGTCGTGTACGGGGATACGATCATCCTTTTAGAATCTTGATCGATTCTGGGGCGTCGAAGAATTTCGCACGCCGCCAGACGGCAGCTCGCAACAGCAACAAGTTGTCCGATGCTTTGAGATAAAGTAAGGGCAACGGGACGGTGTCAGTGCGACTGGCCGACGGGAAGGTCGTCACTGTCCCCAACGTCCAAGTGGA